GGGGTCCCCAGGAGCTGCAGCTTCCACCACTCGTTTGCAGTCATCCCCCAGGGTCTTTCCTCGCTCGTTTGTGGGGTTACCTGTCGTGAGGAGAAAGACTCATCAGAGTTACGCCGTCTGACACTGCTCCCTTGAACCGCTATCAGAAAACACTATGTTAAGCGCAGATTAATTAACTCTGTAATGCAGATAAAATGAGATTTTATGGCTCTGTAGTCCTGGCAGCATAGAGTAATAATAGGAACTATCTACTCAAGTGGGGAACGCATCCCAGGAAGGAAAGGAGAGGCACGGGAGGTTAATAGTGCATCCTGGGGCATTGCCAGACATCCTCTCGCCAATCTCGCTGGATGCAAGCCACTGAGCGTTCAGCCCAGCACGCCATCCAAGAGAAGCCTCACCATCCACTCGCTAGCTGCTTCTGCTTGTTTTTCACATTAAAAAATTCCCCAGGAAGATAACGCATGAAACTGAACAGATTTTTCTTTCTTCTTACAGGAACCAGTTCAAAACCCAACAAAGGAGCAAGCATCAAGAAATGCCTAACGAACCCACACTCTGCCCACCCCTGAAATCCCCCCACGGATGTCTAAGGAACCAGGCACCCACCATCATCCCACATTCCCAATCTCCACGGTTACGAGCTCAGGCACTGACCTGGCACAAGTGTGAATCCCAGGTCCTGCTCCGGCCGGTGCTTCCCACCAGCGAGGCACAACCTCACCGGGGAAGGTGCTGCACCGCGCGGCCCCGGGTCTGTCAGCTGCAAGGTCTGGTTCAGGTCCATCCAGAAGCGAGTTCCTCAGGATTTGAGCCGTCGGGACACGCAGACGCAGCCCCCAGCGCGAGGCACAGCTCTGGCCAGGCCGATGCGGGCGGCAGTGACGCCTGGCATGTCCGTCTAGCAAACCCACATGGGCTGTCCTCTCTGGGTGTTGAGGGGCAGGGTACAGCCCAGCACCTACAGCGAATTCCCAGGGTCCAGGCACAGCTTCCATGACTTTCTCTCGCAGTAAAAACTGTTACAGACTGAATCGTGAGACAAATTCCACTCTTTTTTCAAAATATTTTATTAATAACCCATTAGTTAAGGAATATAAGGACAATGTCTTCTTACACTTTAACACTAAAGAGTATTTGCGGAGTAAAAACAGTCTCTGAAGAAAGAAGGTTATAATCAGGGACAGCATGGAAGCAAACACAGACACGGTCGTACACGAGATCAAGTTCTGGTTACGCATCCTGACGCACTGTGTAGAAAATTAAATGAAATTGGAAATATTAGCAAGGGAATGCAGTAGCAGAACTAGACGGTAGATTTCTGCTGGACTAAACACCGCTTTTCTAACGAAAGTATTGATTAGAAAAGACATGATGATCCCTTCAAAACATCTGTTTAATGAGATCAAGGCCACAGTGCTCTGTTAAAACGGACGCTTTCTCCCACAGCGTATTTCACAGGCTGATCTCAGAATCCTTAGCCAGTCATGTAAAAACTTCTCAAAACTTAGATCATACATTACTTCATCCGAACTATTTAACCAGAACTTTGCTGTCTGTTAAGTAAGAAATCAAATCAACTAAAAGTCAAAAGAGATTTTGAGCCGAGTCACGCGTTTCACGTAACGAGGGATTAAGAGAAGGATGCGAACGGTGACTCTCGCAGCAGCACGGGGAATATACAGTTGTGTAGCCAAACGGTAACAGTAATACTACAAAAATGATGCCAGCGAGACAAACCTGACATTTTAACAACGTAAAACGATATACACCAGCAAAAAGTCAAACATCTTTAGTGTTACTGAAAGGAAGGGAGCAAGAGGCCTGATGCGCAGGAACATATATTAAGTATGATGGGTAATTAAAGGTATCAACAGTTTGTGTGTCTGTGAGAAAATCTGCAAGAAAGCTACTTACGATAAAAAAATATATGCACTGGTTGTTTCAGCTTTACACACAGAATGTGTGCTACCCCTCCTCTTCCACTCGTTTCTAGCCGGGTCTCGAGAGGTCCCGCACGCATCCAGGACAGGAGGGACCTGGGGAACAGCCGAGCTCGACAAGGACACCCGGCACCCGTAGAGAACAGCTTCGCTGCTGCCCATCGGCGGCGACCTCTCGGCTCTGAGCCTGGATTTCTGTAACCGAGGTCACCCCACAGTTACTCCAGTGCCGAAGTCGGTACGGACAAAGCAGAGGTGAGTGTACAAAGGAGCGCACCAGAAACCGGGGCACACAGCCACAGGACTAACCTTCCATCCCCACAACCCCCCGGATGGAAAGCTCGGAGCTGGTACATGACCTGCCCCAGGTACAGCCTCACGACAGGGAGAACTTGGGTTGTGACTGCTGCTGGCCAGACTCCTCCTGGTGCTGCCCTCCGGCAGCCGAGGCGCTCCGCAGACGCGGTCCTTCGACATACTGCCACGCTTGCAGGGGGCTGACTGGGTTTGGAGGTGAAAGGAAATCACCAGGGGTTCCCTCTGGAGTGAGCTTTGTGGGGAAGGGTCCTTCCCCCTTTCTGCACACCAGCAGTGGCGTGTACAGGGGCTGTTCTGTCGCTGGGGAAGTGCAAGGACTCTTCCATGAAGCTGCCAAATCTCCCCCCGCCTCTGCAGCTACAGCCCACTGCTGCCCAGCTGGAGGGTCTGTACCCCCGCAACTGCATCCGCTCCCGCACAGCCGTGAACTGCCCTCACTGCCCGCAGTAACACCTCACTGCCTTATCTGTAATCCTCCTGAGCCACCAGTTCCAACGTCTCCTGGCAGTGAGTTCTGGAGGTGAATTCCGCACTTCCCCTGCCCAGTGTGCATTCCCTGCCTTCCTAGCTCCTTGCTCTGGCAGCGCACACGCGCTACCTCCTGCCCAGCCTGCTCACCAGCACAGATTTCCACTCTGTGCCGCAGCCGTTCAGTCACAAGCGGAGACGCTGTAGGGTGGGGAGAGGTGGAAGCTCCACTATCCTTCCTGACAGGCACTCCTCTGCTGAAGAGCCGGAGCTAACAGGGTTTGATGGAGGGCTGCAAGGACACGGGGTGGTCCAGCTCAGCTTCAAGCACAGGGCACAACCGTGGCACGGCTCTTCACCACGGAAGTGGGAATAGGATGCTGGTGGAGCATCCTTGCTGCAAGCAGTGGAGTCTCAGCCCAGATTTCATCACAAAAAAACACCAAAATCCAGAGCCTTTCACAGCATCTCAGATCAGCACACAGCCTCCTGTATAGCTTATGGGGAATTTCAGTAGGAAAATAGGGAGATCGCATCTTCTCCCTCATTTTGTAATAAACAAAAGACCGGATGTTTGAATCCTCCGGGAAGGCAGAACATTTTCCGAGCACCCACTGCACAGAATTTACCGATCTGTGTTACCCCGAGGAGCTGGTGCGGTCTGTGGCGTTCAGGTCAAACTCTGCGAGCCCAGAGCAGGGCAGAGGGGGGGCTAAGGAGAAGGTAGAAGAGATCTTACCCAACTCCAGATGACCAGGCTGAGAGAGACGGCAGCAGTAACCAAACGCTGTCAGCGAGGCCGAAGCACTGGGTGATCTTTCAGACAGTGTCTATAACAAACCCAGACCGACTGGTACGGGTGCAAAGCTTTGATTTTAAATTTTTAAGCTCTGGTGGTCTTATAAAAATCCCCAAAAGCACTTTGGCCAGGACTCTCAGAAGTGACTGGGACATTTCACTTGTTCATCCAACGCCTTCAGCTGACAGAAGGCGGACAGCTGCTCTCTGGAAATCAAAAATCAAGATCCCGAGTTACTTTTGCAGTGTTGGTTCTTTCTTCTCTTCGCTAGCGTGAGGCTCTTAAGGAAAGACGGACCAACATCCCCTGGCTGAAGCGGTCTCCTTTGGCCAGCTCCTGCAAAACACCGTCCTGCAGAGAAACGCAACCCACTTCTCCAGCTGTAGGGAAGGTGTCTCAGAGCAAATCCGAGAGACAAAGCAAGAGAGACGTCTGCAGCACTACACATTTGAAAAGAGCAGCAACCAGTGCAAACATATTCTTTAAAAAAGGGCAGTATAAGTTAAAACCTAGAATGGACTCTAACAGAAGAGTAGATCCTACTGCTTTTTTTTTTCTCCAACAGACATGAGGTAGTTGTGTTGTTAGGGAGGAAAAAATAAAGAAAGAGAGAAGTAGTAAAAATGCTACTCTATACCACACACTAACTCCACTTTATAAAATTAAATAATATAAAGATGTTCCAAGGAAATAAAAATACATGTTGTACATTAAAAGGACAGATGCGTACCTAAAATATTAGGTACAAGAACCTACATAAACCACAGTCCAGGTTGGTGAAATGACCCAGACACTGAAGAAGGTTCTATATAGTACAAGTTGTTAGAGGCACTCGTAGAGTGTGTAATAAAAGGCCACTACGTCAGCCTGCTAGTAATAGTTACTGCGGTAGCGTACAAAGAGAGCCTTATAATCCTTTTAACCACGGGAGGGCAGGAAAGGCTGGTGGTTACAGCTCACTGAATTTGTTTGTGTTGGCTTCCACCTCCTCGTGGGACTCCTCCGAGGGAATCCATCCCAGCGCTGCGAGGCAGCTGGCAGTGCCAAGGTGCTCCCTGGCGGAGAGACAGCCGAGAAGAATCGCCCGGTGAACTCCGCCTCTTGCCGGCGCCGAGAGACGTCTTGCCAGTCGCCTCGAGGACTACGGCGAAGCGACTGCGCCGGTCTAACGCAGCAGGCTCCGTTCGAGCCTTGGTTCCGTGTCAGACTTTGACAGATGGCTCAATCCTGCTCCCACGAAAACCAAGTTACTCGTCAGCTTCAGTGGAAGAAGATGAGCTCTTACCCATCTACCTACTGATATCCTGGAGGCAATATGTACAGCTGACAGGTCCAACTCCTGTTCTGGTGAGATGCTGCACCTTCTCCGCTCCTGCTGGGCTCAGTGAGTCGAGGCATGCAGTACCTGACAGGGACAGGCCCTTTCGGATGCTTCTAGCTCTCCCATGATCAAAATCAGATTAGTTCACTCTTTAATGGTTGTGGACACATGCCATGTTCTCAGATGCTGAGGATGAACTGGTTAAACCAGAGTTACTGAAGAGGGGAGCCTCCTCCAGCGCCGGGGAAAGCGACTGGCATTTGCCTGGCTGCACATCCCCCCTGCCTTCCTGGATGGAGTCCGAATCTCCGCTCTCCACTGAATCCAGACTTTCCCCACGCTCATGGAAGCCATTGGTGAGCCCATGGAGGCAAATGGGCCCCGCTTGGCTAGTCTTTCTGTCGGTACGCAACAGCTCGTCCTGGGCCCCAACCTCTGAAGCGCCCGAGCTGTCCAGCAACGCTGGGCTGGCATCCTGCCGGGTGCTGGGAGAGCCAGGAAGGTCCAGCTCTCCGGAGGGGAGCTCTTCAGGCTCCTGGTCCTTGGCTTCTGTCTCTTCGCTCTCCAGGGTGTGCAGCTGGGAGTCGTAGTCTCTGTCAGAGGCTGAAAAATCAGAATGGACGATGACCTCGGCTTCCACTTGGTGGAGGCTGGCGGGTGGGTGGCTTTTCCGTGCTTCATTCTGTTACCAAAGGGGGAAATAAAAAAAGGTAAAGTAAATGAAACCAGGTAATTGAGGCTGCAACCCAACCAAGCACTGAAATGTATTCCTTTTTAATCCCGCAGAGTGCAATGGGCTGCACCCGTGCCTCGCTTAAGCATTACCTCGATATGTTTCTCAGAGCTGAAGTCTTAAGAAGCGTCTCAAACCACCTCAGGGTAATTATTCCTATTTTATGTTTGGGAAAGCAAGTCCCAAGGGAGTGAAGTGATTTATCCGTGGTTTCTCGGCAGGCTGGAGCAACCATTCCTCTAAGCCTCTGTCCAAGACCACAACTTTCAACACCCGCGAAGGGCTACATTTCTAGAGGGCGAGTGGGCAGAGCCCTAGAAACTGGCTTCAGAGACAGCTCATGACACAGACCCACAACCAGATGCCAGGGCTCCCTTCGCTTGCCTGGTTTAATTTCGGCTCCGTATCACAAAACGTTTGTTCGTTAGAGCCCCAGTCGCAGCTTGCAAAAGCCAGTGTAAATTCAAGCACTTCAGTTCAGAAGGAAACCCACTGGTTCTCCTCTGCCATGGAGTTCAGGCCCACAAGCAGGTCACGCCACTAGAGCAGCATTCGATAACTTCACAGGCACGTTAGTTTGGAAGCCGAGGAAGAGCTCTCGAGGCAATCGGCGCTCAGGTTCTGGGCTGAGCGTGACTGAGTAGCAAGAAGCCAATTCCAAGTATGGAAGTGATATCCCCCGTGTAATCTGCGCTGCCTGTTGAAGCCAACTTTGTACATCATTTACGTATTTTAACACTTTCCTCCTTTTGTTGACAAACTCTGATGGGTGAGCTGCATAGTAAACAGTGCCCATAACTGTGTTGTAAAACATTGTAATTAACATCGTGCACAGAGTTAAGGCATTGTGTGTATAATTGATTTTCACACTGCTGTCTAGGAAGGAAACACAGGTAGGTTATGCAGAAGTATTTTCTGGGGGTGGAGGGTGAACTTTTTAAAGCAATAACCAGCCGAATCATCTGGTAGAGAGTCAACCTGAGCAGGTGTCAGCTTGTTTTGCTGAGCCTGTGGCACAGACATCACCACCCTGGTACAAACTCTCCCCAACAGGGATCGCACATTTATTCCAATGAAGCACTGTCAGACAGGATTTCCTCCCAGTCTGTGCACCCACATAAAGATGACAAGTGCAGTGGAAACTGTTCTACCCTACTGGGAGAAGGAGTTTAAATCAACCCTTGATCTTTGACACCTTTTACAGGCAAAAATGCAATTCCTCCTTCAGGCGAGCACGCTGTAGATCTTAACGGCTGTGCTGAGCGCTGCAGCTCCTAACTCATTCCGCAGGCTGCTTGCTGCCTGGCCACAGCAGAGACCCAAAGCAGTGGTGTCTGATGCCAGTTCCTCAGGAACCGGGATGTCACAACCCAGCTGTCTGACACCACCTGAAGAACGAGCCCACAGCACAGGCCCTCAATGGGTGGCTGGTGTCAAGACAGAAGATCAGGGAGAGTTGAGGCTTCGAGCGATGCTTGGATGCCTGCAGCCCTGAGGAGAAGGACTTGGGGGTACTGGTGGGTGAAAAGCTGGACATGAGCCGGCCGTGTGCGCTGGCAGCCCAGAAAGCCAACCGTATCCTGGGCTGTATCAGAAGTGTGGCCAGCAGGTCGAGGGAGGGGATTCTGCCCCTCTGCTCTGGTGAGACCCCACCTGGAGTGCTGCGTCCAGCTGTGGAGCCCTCAACATCAGAAGGATATAAACCGGTTGGAGTGAGTCCAGAGGAGGCCACGGAGATGATCAGAGGGCTGGAGCACCTCTCCTATGATGAAAGGCTGAGAGAGTTGGGCTTCTTCAGCCTGGAGAAGAAAAGGCTCCAGGGAGCCCTTATAGCACCTTCCAATGCCTGAAGGGGCTACAAGGAAGCTGGGGGGGGCTTTTTACAAGGGCCTGTAGTGACAGGACAAGGGGTAACGGGTTTAAATGGAAAGTGGGGCGGTTTAGATTAGATATCAGGAAGAAATTCTTCACGGAGAGGGTGAGGAGGCACTGGGACAGGTTGCCTAGAGAAGCTGTGGATGCCCCATCCCTGGCTGTCTTCAAGGCCAGGCTGGATGAGGCTTGGAGCAACCTGGTCTAGTGGAAGGTGTCCCTGCCCATGGCAGGGGGTGGGACTGGATGGGCTTTAAGGTCCTTTCCCACCCAAACCATTCCACGATTCTATGAAAATGGAACAAAGGGCTTTTGCCGAAATCCTCGCTGGCAGACACCCCTATACCCAAGAAAAAAATTAAGCCCACAGTCAGCCAACTAAAGCTAGCTCAGAGAACAAAACATTCTCTCCTGTGCTGCAAGGAGAAAGGGATGTGCTTTTCCCATTTATGTTCCCCACTGGAATACACACGCCGATAAGCGACCAAAGACACCTACCATCACGGCGTCATAAACCAGGGCTTGTAATAAAAGCTTCTGTCCCGCGCTGGAAGGAAGCTTCAGTGATCCGTTCACCGCAGAGAGAGGCTCTTTTGTGATAGCGTCCCCGTATCTGGCTATGCTGTTTGTCCAGGGCTGGCTGGATGATTTATTCCACGAAGACTGCAGAAGAAAAGCGGGAGGAGAAAAGATCCAGTTATCACAGATACAGATTCTTACCCTCACAATCCTGAAATGAGAAGCAGCTTGAAAAAGGGAAGTGCAAGCTGGGAGAATACCACGGTGTTAGAAGATGCAAATTAAATGTGGAGAACACCCCCAATGGCATCAAAATAAAAATGCTCACTGCTACGGATGGGCAGTGTCAGCCCATTACAACAGGCTTTGTTGCCCTGTGACACAACCTGATGCAGAGCGCGTGGACAGAAGTCACCAGATGGTTCACCACTGGTCTCAAAAGGGGTTTTCCACTGATTCCCAAATTTTGAGGCCAACAGGTCTATCATGGCACGAGACATCCCTTAAAGGTCCACCCAGAGCAGTACAAGCCTAATGAAAACGCTGCAAAGCTGGAAAGGGAGGGGGGCGGTGGAAATCTGGAGCAGAACGACTACGGCATTCACTTTGGCACAAGCAATGCTCTGCAGCACGGACAAGGTCCCTCACCTGTGTGTACGGGTACTCCAGTAGGACAATCCTAAACTGCTCACTCTGCGGTGCACACCAACTTCCTGCTCTAAGCCAGGGCTTGGGCAAACACTGCCATTCCCCATCAACAGAGGCACAAAATTGGGGGCTTTATTTTTTTAATTGTGGGGTGTTTTGTTTGGTGTTTGGTTTTTTTTTTTTGCAACAGACCACCAAGCAATTCTTAGCTCAGCTTTAAATCCCCTGGGCAACCAGTGTTACCTTGTTTGTAGATCTAATTAAATTATATGGGCTGAACGCAATTTGTTCTGGGTTCTCTCAGCTTCCCCTTGCAATAAACTGTTGAATGCACACTTCTGTGTATAGGAAATGTGTGCCTTTAAGAGCTAGAGTTATTTAACAGCTCAGACTATTAGTTCACAGGCAGAAAAGTATTTTCTTTCCAGGTTTTGATTTTATTGGGCTGTCCTGCATTTACCTGAGCTCAGCCTTGCTACCGACGCGCGTACGTATACACGCTGGGATTTAAGGAACATGGGAGCTGGTTATCCCTGGGCTCGTTCCACAGATGTTACACGTTGCCTGGATAGAAGCAAGAGGCGGAAGCGAAGAGAGAATCCTGACCTGACCCAACTGTGGGTGTGCATACAGCACACGGGTGGTGGGAGCGTGATGGCATCCCACTAAGCACCCACTGCTCACTGTCAGGGAGGAGAAACCTGGGTTTCTGCTCTGTATATGAGGCCGCTGCTTACACAGGCTACACCAATCCCAACAACAGTCGGTGTAGCACGAGTCCAACCGAGATGGCAAGGAGATTTCTGACATCAGCCTGACCTTGTGTGAGTCATTTGACCTCCTTGTGGCTCGGTCCATCTGGCTGGAAATTAGGTAGAAATGCATGACCAGATGTTGTATGTGAGCCAGGCATTCCTAAGTCAGCTATTTAGCAAGAAGCAAATGCTACCTCATGCTGTGGGTGCTGGCAGAAGGCAGGATCAAGGGCTCACGTATGCGCTGCCGAGCTGCCCGAGCTTCTCCGAGCACCCTCTGTCCACCCTGACTCAAGGGCTCAACACCCTGGGGAGGCAGAGCAGCGTTACATCCCGATGCTAACGTCAAGCCACGGGAGCTTTGCTGCTGCCTCAGGATCAAACCTCAACAAAGAGGGAGTAAAAGGGCCTCGTTTGTATGACAGAACAGGGGCTTCCAAACCCGGCGCTGTGGATATCAAGCATTCGCTAGTTTACAAGTGGATGCTGGAGGCAGCATCTTTGCCATTCCTCTCTCCGCAGTCTTCGGCAATAATTCTGAGCCAAGAGCATTCCCTAATTGCTCCGTTTTTAAGTGGACAATCATTAAACTCCACTTTAATAGAAGGAAGTCAACCAAGCGATCACAAAGCTCACAATAAGGAATATCGCTACACATGAGTACTCGAGGAACGTGTTCAATTTGCTCCTGCTGCCGACTGAAAGGCTTTCTGCAGCTACATCGCTGACTGATGGCTTCTGTGCCTCTTCCAAGGAACATACGTTCCTTAGCAAATACTGCCTGGAAATTTCAGCGTTGAACCTACACCACAAATGTGTGTCCTACACCCATATTTGCCATCAGAAAGATCTGAGCATCATACGCATACACACACACACACACAGAGCAAACTTGAAAACCTTCTTGCAGGCATCTTGTGAATACCAAAAAACGTGGAGAGAAACAGGCAGCTCTGCTGCAATCCCCAACGGACCATCTGTTAGCGGAAATGTCAATCTGCCGTGTTTACATAGGTTTTGATGACTCTGGGAACAGCCTGTTCGGCTCTGGCTGAAATTGGCTGCAACGAAGAACAAACTTGTTTTGTACCAGTTTGCAACTTTCAACAAACAGAAAAAACCATCAGCCACACAACACGGCCTATATCCCACATGTTGTTCGAGCACATTATGTTTGAGAGGGGGAAAAAATATCCCTCTCGGGGCTTAGTCTCTAAGGCTGGGCAGCGGCGATTAACTCTAGGTCTGTTTTTTCATCCCAGACCCGAAGAAGTCTTGTGGGCTGGAAAGCTTCTCTGCTTTTCTAAGCAGTACCTGTTGGGGTAATAACCAGTACTATTTCTTTCTGTTCAAGGGGGCCTAGGGAATGGCTGGAGGAAGACAAGGAAATGTTCTCTCGGGCTTTACAAGAGAGTAATGAAAGCAAGAAGTGTCAGTCTCTAATACTAATTTAAAGAGGGAAAAATCCCTTTGTCAGTTCACTGCAAACACAAGAATGAAAACTAATAAAAACATCTTCCAATAAAAGGTGTTTCCATTACGGCTAAATCCTTATCAAAGCAAACAAGTCTTTTCATTTTAGCCCTTTCATAGAAACTCCGACAGGTAAAAACGTGCCTCGACCATGTCACTTTCTCAGTGACAAGTAATGATTTCGTACAAATATATGAGCTGAGAATGAACGTGTAGGAAATGCTGATCTTGAAACCTTCCCTGGTTTATGAGGAGAGACATTTAAACTAGCTTGAAATCCTGTGCAGAACACGGCTGGGGACATTTCAGATGTGCCCAGCTTTTAAGGGTGTCACAGCGGAGAGAAAGGATTCACTCAGCAGCCGGTGGGAGGGGGAAGGCTCCATGTCACGCTAACACAGAGGTGCCCCTGCCTGCAGCTGCACCCCCGAACAAGGTGCCACGTAACAGACCTCTCCCCCGCCAGATAAAGCCGAATCTCTGCTGGCTGTCACCCCGAGCACAGCTCTCCTCTCAGCCTTCGCAGAAAACACTGGGACCCTTTTCTTCCACGCAGAAAAATTTCAACACAAAAATGACAAACAACCGGGGTAGATCCAAGTTCCCTGACGCGTTACAGCTTTTGCTCTCCGAGTCATGGGGATGCTTCATGGAAAACGCAGCCCCCGTGGGGAGGGGGCCCACAGGGAAGGAGAGGGGCAGCAAGCAAGGAAGATTCCAGCTCGCAAGAAACACAACGACAAACGTTTCCAAGCCAAAACACTTGGGTTTGGCTTCATTCAATGAAAAGCTGAAGTCTTCCATGGAAAGCAGATGCTTTTCAACATTCTCCCCCACCCCCTAAATTGCTTGGCCCAAAAGCAGCAGTGACAGGGATGTCTGGAGCAGAGCCATTTTATCATCCTCGGTCCATCTGTCAGGGGAAACACAGCCGCATCGCCACAGCCTGTGCATTACGGCGTCACCTCCAACGTGGGCTACGGGGGGCATCAGTCTGGGGGTCACTTGAAAGGGGAAGAGAGTAAAAGGAAAATTACTTGTCAGTGTGTTTACAAATCCTTGTGTGGGGCCATCGGGACACAGGCACCCAAAGGAGAACGGGGCCCGCTAAACAGCCGCGCGTCCTCCTGCTGATGGAGCCGTCAGCCATCCAGGGGAGCCCCGTGCTGACAGCGGGGCTGCAG